GCCTTTGCAAGTTACCACCCTCCAGCTCATCAGCACTCCAGGCTCTTCACTGTCTACGTTTGGCAATCTACCAGTCCAAAAATGCCAAGTGCCAGGAACAGGAAGCAGGGAAGCCGATAATCAGGGCATGTAAAACGAGTCGACATTGTTTGGAGCGGCATCGCTGGGTCAGAACGACACAGAGCAGGATTTCTGAGCAGCGACTGCTACACTGGAGACGGGATTATAGCTAATTCCTGCCTGTACCCTCCCTCTTCCAGGATGCTATCCAGCATGCCAATGGCATACAGAGGCTGCTGCAAAATCTCTAGCTCAGCCCTGATGCTTTCCAGCAGAATCAAAGCAATGGGGATCCTTTGGTTCTTTTTAATCTTCATCTCCTTGACTGCTCACGGTAAGACCAGGAAGGCCAAGGGTGGTAAATGGAGGCAGCTGGGAATAGGAATAAGCTTTCATAGCCAAACAATCACATCAATGTATTATAGGTACTGAGTGGGGAGAAGTGTCCTTAAGTTTCTGGGTGAAGGAATGGGTCAGGCACTTTGGCAAAATGTGTAATTCCATCCCTAGGGGAATAAGGAGGGAAATAGCTTTGAAATGGGACATTGCTCTGTCTTTCCAGGCAGAGTATTTGGGCAAACTTTACAGGATGTGTCTTTTACCTCTGCTCTGGTGTTTCTTTCTGGAGCCCTTGGAGAAGTGTTTCCTCTTTTTCTCAGACTGCAATTGTTTCCTCGGTAGGGTGATGGCAGCTGAACCAACCTCCAGTGGAAGGTCTTTGACAATACCCTAAAAAAAAAAAAAAAAAAAAAAAGACTGTATGACAAAATGATACACGAGATTGGCTTTGAGCCTCAGGACTTTTTAATTAATTTATTTATTTTGGGAGGAGGTGGTGGTGGGGGGTAATAAATACAGATATCACAAGGTGTCCTTTAACACAGGGATCCTGGCCACGCTCTTTGAGATTTGCATGCCCAGGCTCCATGCAACTCTCAGTCTTGCCTCGGCTGATCAGGCACCCTTGTGTTAAATAAAACCCCATGCATTTTACCTATCAACTTGCTGCTTCTTTGTACAGGAAATGCTTATGGACCAGGTAGCTGTAACCACGAAGGGGGCTTGTGCCGAGTTGGAAACTGTGCTTCTGGTGAATATCTGGCTGGTTTCTGCTTTGAACCTATCATCCTGTGCTGCAAAATTTTGTCCTGACTCCTATAAAAAAGGCTGAAAATTTCCCAAGGAGCAAACTGCAACACATGGAGACCTGCAGGCTCCACTAACAAGGAACAGGCTGTGACTGCGTTTTATCTCTTGGGAAGGAATGTTTTGTCTTTCTATGACTGTTGCTCCCCTGGGACAACTTTTGCTCCAGTTGTCAGAGGCTATGGATTGACTAGTGGACTTTTAAACGTGTTGCCTTTTGCTGTGACTTTTTAGAAGATGCTGCAACAGGAAGGAATTGGGCCATTCCATTTGCTTATGTATATTGCCCCCTTTGACATTTGTCAGTTATCTGTTATGCTCAGGTGAGAAATTGCCTCTCCTTACCTGAAAGCAATAAACCTGAAGTTCAACAGAACAGCAAGTGCCCTTCTGTGACTCCTGAGTCCTCTCAGAAAAATTGCTGGTGATGGGTTACACTGTTTCCCATTAACCAGAAGCCAACACAGTGATCCATTTCCCTGGAAAATCACTGCAATGGAGCAGCCCTCTACCATCATTCCTGGTCCAAAACCTGTTTTGACATAAGGCCAAGTGTGACCCATATGTCTCGTTCCCAGGCTGTGCCAGGTATTTATAAGCACTGGGAAAGGCTGGCTAAAGGGTTAAAACATGGAGAAGGAGCAGGAATTCCCCATGCACATACCTCTGTGCTTACTCACACATAGGCTACACAGAGGCAGGTTTTATAGCAGTGGTGAATATGCTGTCCCCATACACCCCCAGCTCCAACAGGCAATGCAAAGCCCAGTAGGGAGGATCCCATTTCATTCTTTCATAGCACAGAGAGAAGAAGGAAGAACCCAGCGTCACAGCTGGGTGAGAGATTTGAAGACTATGCAAAATATTCCTCACTGTCTTCATCCATGGACTGCATTTCTGGTATTTCTCCTTTCTCTGTAATCACCAGGCAAGAAGTGCAATGCAATTAGCATGTTTGTACCCAGCAGCTTTCTGCCTATGAGATGTCTCAGCCTAAACCAAACTGGTCTCCCCGTGCACTCAGCCCTTCTGTGTTTCTTTCTTCTCCTTTAACTTTTCAGCCTGAAGCATCTTGATGCCCCTGCACCACTTACTAGTTTGCTCTTGGTATCCATGTCCCAAGAAAGAGCCTGTCTCCGGGACAATCACATCTGTATAAGCAAGAAAACAATGATCTAATGAGAGAATTATGCCAATTAGCTCACTCACTGGTCAGAGCCAGGGAAAAGTCCTCCCTAGGAGGCAAAATTCTTTCTCTGATGAATCAAACAGGAAAATTCCCATTGACTTCATTAGGGTCAGGACCCATGGTGAGAGGTTCAAAGATGAACTCACTTGAGTAACTTGATTCTCTGGGTGATTCTGAGGCCGCCCACAAGCAGCCCAGCTATTTTCTTTTGGGTTTTTATAACACACGCAGAGCACCGTGTGGGACTTGAGCACACACAGGGAGATACCAGCACCTCACTGGAGATCCTCTGCCCTTAGAAGAGCTGACAGGAGAGCCCTAATTGCACAGACCTGCCTGTTGGCTTGGGAACCACAGCTGAAAACAGAGATGGGCTTGAGCCCAGAGCCAAATTCCTCACCGTGTTGTAAGGACTCCAGGCCAGCTCTCCAACGCACATTGATATAGGAACTCAGCACGGACAGGCAATGTAAATCAAGGAGCATTTCCAAATCATTTTATTTATCACATTCATCCACACAGATGATGATTCACGCCTCTTATCTTGATGAATGTTAGCCACCATGTTTACAGCCTGCTTTCCTACGAAAGTGAAGCATACGAGCTCATGCTGCTCTTCTTGTAAATCTCTTCTGACCCCTATATATTTTGAACCTGTTGGGCAGATGAGTTTTGACTCAGCTAAGTCAAAGGGGTAGGGTGGAAATGCTTGGCCAGCTTGGCCAACCTACCTGACAGCTTCACAGTGTCTGCCTGGAAGCAACATGACTGTAAATGCAAGCTGCTTCTGCAAGGCACTGTCCCACACTTCCCTGGCTATGTATTCCCTTGCTTAAAGAGATGGCTGAAAAATAATTCTCAATAAATAAATAAATAAATAAAATAAAAAGCTGTTTTGCTACAGACCTCTGAACTCTCAGATAGGTTTTGACCTGTTTCCCTTTGCCAAGTGCCCAAGTTGTTTCCCTCCAAACTCATTCGTGCTTATTGCCTCATGCAAGAGATAAAATCTCTCTTTTATGAGGAAGTCATGCCCACCACCACATCAGCACCTGCTGCTTGAATGAAACAATAGTATAATAACAGTATAAGATGTTTTAGTGTACGTATGTGATAGGGTATGCTGCTCCCACGGAAACCAAGGAAATCCTGGCAAAGACCAGCAGTGTGGAGAAAAATCAGTTACTTACAGGGTGGTGCATCCTGTATCCCCAGAGAGGAGGAAATGCTCAACTCCTCTTACTATGGAAAGGCTTTTTTCCACTCAGCCCGTATCTATACACCTGTTTGTTTTCATTTCATGGGACCAGACCCAAACACCATTTCCATCCCTTATATCCTCAAAACAATTAGTATTTCTTATTATAGGCACTCAGCAAAGGGCATCTCCAGCATGACCCTATGCTCTAGCTGTAGGAATTCCTTCCATGAAGAACAATCTTGCCTGTGCTGCACTGTTTCCATGAGGGTTAAACCCCATGGAGTCAGTGGAGTTACTCTCACCCGCTCCTGACAGCAATGCCTGCATTACTGCATGTAGAAATAGGGTGGACAGTCAGGCAAAGTAAAGGGGATGCCAGGATAGCAGAATAAGTAACAAGGTAAAGTCTACTATTCTTTAAGAGATCTGGGCTGATTTGGACATGAATCAGACCAAGGGCTGCTCTGAAAAGAGATTAGGCTGAAATTCTTGACCTCATTGGAAAAAAAGCAAATGAGGAAGAAGACACTAGTGAGAAGGCTTGGGAATCCCTTAGCTCTAGCTATAACTGACAGAGCTCATATGGCTACAGAAATAGGGGTTCTTCAGTATGACCCTAGTTGTCCCATGCCAGTTTCTGAAAGAGACATTAAAAAAAAAACGTCCAGACATCTTGGGAGATATATTTTGAGCATTTGCAGCCATTTCAGCTCCTGTAGCTACAGGGACAGCCCAAGGATTCAGATAGGCTAGAGATCTGCCCTCGTGTCTGCTCTGTTGATCAGCACAAGCCTCAGGAATAACTGGAGATGTTCGTTCATGAAAACAAGGCCTGAATGTCCCCCTCGCTGGAATTTGTTTGCTGTTCCCAAGCAACAAGCCAGTGTTTGCTTGGCAGAGACAGCCAGACTAAAATGAAATCCTCTGCTTGTGGTCTATAAACACCCACGTAAGCTGAGCTGTGTGATCAGACCTGGAATGATGGTCAAACGGGCTCCTCTTTGAGTAAGCTGAGGTCTCATAACCTTGGACAAACCTCTTGTATTCAGAATGTCCTTCACATCTGCAGCAGGCCCGAGCAAAGCAATGCAAACGCTTGCATGACTCCCACAAGCTCAGGAGAAAGAGGGTCAAATTCAGTCTTTGCCCTTGGCTGTTCCTTCCACCATCCAGGCTGAGCGGCCATCCTGCCACAGTCCAGATGCAGGACACGTTAGGAGGCTAAAATGGGTCTGAAATCAAAGGCTGTGTCTGCACAGGTCAAACACTGTAATGCTCATGCTCAAATATTGGCAGGTGCCCATCCTTACTGTTGAATTACTACCACTATCCCTGGCACAGATTTGGCTTGGGGCGACCAGCCATTTCCTAGACAATTTTTTTGGCACAGTTTGAAGTCTGGCACATGCCAGAGACTGTTTGTAATGGACATCTGAATGTGGCCATGCAAACGGAGGCTGGGAGGGAAGAGGTGAGCTCTGTGCTGTGTCCTTTTGCCATGGGGTAAAGAGCAGCATTTAAAAAAAAAAAAAAGGAGAAGTAGGACAAACTTTTAAACTTTTTAGAGTCATGCCATTTAGAAGGAAGTATCATGTGGAACTTGTAAATGGTTTTGGATAGAGACTGGTCAACTAGTTGGAAGGGAAATTTAGGGAGGGTTACTTCACAAACAAGCAAGAGAGAGACAAGGACCTCCTCATAGAAGAAAGCACTGACTACAAGCTGGATGTGCTGGATGTGCAAAGCAGGAAGGCAGGAGCCCTCCCCAAAGGTTAGGGTCCTTCTTTCTATGTTGAGCTGCAGAGATTTAGAGAATCTGGTAGGAAGTAACAGGGAAAATGAGGATGAAGGATGGCAGGGCAGATGGGTGAGCTGAGAAGTGGCTGGAAAACGGCCTCCAGGAGGCCCTTGTATCACTGCATGGTTGGCCTCTATGGTTTCCTCCTGTGGTCATCCTTGCTGCAAAGAGAGTAAATGTATCCCAAGCTTCAGAGACAAGTAGCCTGATTTTAAAAATCCAGCTGCTCAGGTCCTGACCCAAAGCCAGACAAAGTTAGTAGAGACGTCTGCTCCCGTTTCAGACTGCGGGTTGGGTGGGATGTAGATTGACTTGGACTCTTCCACAGCCTCTAAAAACCCCCAAGGGCACCTTGGAGGAGTTTTTATGGTGTGAGTCAGAGCACAAAGATTGACCTCTGAGCTCTGCGGGATCTGAAGGAAACCAGCTGGTGGCAGGATGAGAGCCGGGAAGAGCAGGAACAACTGCATCCAATGCAGGACTTCACCACAGGCTGAGGCTAACATGGTGTAGGGATCGTGCAGGAAGGAGCAAGCCCAGCTGCACTCAGAGCAATTGCTCAGGAGACAGAAGCTTCCTGCCCCTGACTTCTGGGAAAAGATAAAACATGGCTTTTTGCCATCCATCAGCAGCACCTGGTATTCTGGCTCTAGATCTAGTCTCTAGAGCACATCCAACTGGCTTTACAGACATGCTGAGACACAACGGGTCACACGGTTGGAGCAGGACACTCATTTGGTTGATTCCAATAGCACATTCCTCCCTGCTAGGGTTGTAGCTCAAGACAGTTGCCAGCTCTCTCCTGTTCTCTGTCCCCATGTCCTGGACGTGACTGAAGAGGCTGAGCCACCAGCCACTGTCTTGGGTACAACACCATGAGAATCAACATGCTGGATAATACCCCCACCGCATCATCTCTCACGATGAAGATGCAGATCTTCATCAAGACGTGTTGGCTTACGGTCTTCTGACAACCACACAAAGCAGTTCTGCTAGATACACAAAACCCAAGCCCTCTGGAGAACATCTACACACATCCCTGAACCCACCTCTCCCACAGACACAGTTAAGATCCTCATTTTCTTCCCCAAAGTTAAGTGCTGCCTGTGTGCATGACACCCCGTTTCATGTTCCTCGTCCTGAGATCCAAAGTTCAGCTGGTGAAGGGCCCCTTATCTGCACTGTTTGATGAAGCTGATCCTTGTTCTGTTCAAGCAGCCCGAAGGCCAGTGGCTTTACTTTTTTCACTACTGGCTGGCATCCAGTCTGCAAATAAAAAGCCATCAGAGTGACTAGCAATGGGAAAATGAAAGACACGGTGACACCTTTTGCTGCTTTGCTGCTGTAAAAATAAATGTTTAGAAGATTTCTATTTCCTCTTGCACTTTTGGATGCAGTTTGGGGGAGATTTCTGTTTACTATTTGTTGTGTGTTGCTTTCCTCCATTGCAGCTCGGGTCCCACCTTTCCTGGTTTCCCAGAACTGAGCTGGAGAATTAACACAAACCAAAAAGCTTGCCAGATTTCTTGGGAGATTTGTAATAAACACCTTTTTTTTTTTTTCCTAAAGTCCCTGCTCATGATAATTACTTCAAGATATTTCAGCTTTCCTACTTAATAAACACATAAACACATACGCAAGGTGTTGAATTACATTTTACCTCACAATTGTAAACAAAAACTTGGAAAATGATCACTTGGCAAGCCAGAAGTTGGGAAATACAATCAGAGTTTTGATTTTTAATGATTTTTAAGCTTGCTTTGTGATGTTTGGGAGTTCTCAGGAGGAGACTGGATTTTTTTCATGCTTGAGCTTTTCAAGGCTAAACACAGGGACTGGAAATAAACACTTTGATCCTCCAAACCCATATGCTCATGTCTGCAAGCACAAGAACAGCCAGACTGTGTCAGCCCTAACGTCCTAAACCCAGCAGCAGCCAGTAGCAAAATCCCCAATGCGCAGTGCAATTTGTTGACAAAACTCTGCGCTTTTTTAACCTTTTTTTTTTTTTTTTTTTTCTGTAATGCAATATATCTAAGACTGTGAATGTCCCAGTGCAACTGTTTGCTGGAATGTTGAAATGTATCTGAGATTGGCAAACTTCCCTCCACTCCAGGAATGTTGCACAACCCCCTGGACTTATAAATCCAGGATTTCCCTGTTCCCACCTCTTCTCGGCCCCTCATTCCTCCTCACAGGTGGAATTTCCACCAAGGCTCAGCCATGCGGATCTTCCAACTGCTCTTTGCAATCGTGGTCACGCTCCTCCTCCAGGATATTCCCGGTAAGGATAAAATACTTTCAGGGGTTTCTGGGAAAAAGAGACAAAACACGTTCCCACTTTGAGGTAGGCGAGGACAAGACAAGGCCCTCAAGCTAAGCTGACACTGACCTGCCCCTTGCTTCCAAGGACCAAATATATTTCGAAACAGTCTCCAAGGAGTTCCTGGTTGCAGAGCCTTTGCTGGAAGCGGTTTTCCAGGCTCACAGACAGTAGGTTCCTCATCTCCATCATCTCCAAAGCCATAAAGAGATGCTGAGTCTAAGCCAGGAGCCTGAAGCTCTGACCCAGACCAGGATGCACATCCCTTCCTCTGCAGAACGAGGAGAACCCCCTGAATTTGAAAGGCCTTCGTAGTCTCCACGTTTAGAGGATGGGCTTTGGGACCACCAAGGACAACAGTGCAATATTGACTGGCAGCCTTGCCCTGATGAGGAGAGAGGTTTATTTTAGGAACATTGTGCGCATGTTTTCTGGAAGAAACAGGTGTATTTTTTGTGCATCAGCTGCTGCTAGATGTCACAGGACACATAGACACTGTGAGGAACAGAAACTGTTAGCAAGCTGCAAAGTTGAATGGAAAACTTTTATCTATAACAGGGAGTGAGCTTTGGTGTAAGGTGGGAGTAAGGCCTGTTAGGTTGTTGTTTTTTGGTTTTGTGTTTTTTTTGTTTGTGTGTTTCTTTTGGTCTGTTTCTTTTCTTCTGGGGTTCTTTTTTAATAGAAAGGTCACACTTGTGGTGGCTTTTTCAGTCACTGCTTGCATATCTATTGGGAATTTAGATCTCATCCAGCTCTAATGTCATTATGGCATTATTAGCACTTGTTATTGTGTGTTATTATTCCACTGTAGCATGGCTACAGTGGAAATCAACTCTGACAAACAAGAGGAGGACACTTTCCCACTCAGCTTCCCAGCTTGTTTATGTTCTAATCCAGTTAACTCAAGTCCCGGGGATAGAGGCAGGAGAGAGAGGAGTTTGCCCACTCCACTGATGGTGCTAATATGCCCTTGAACTTTCCCCAAACTCCAAAACTTGGCCTTCCTATGTTAAGAAATGAGTTTTTAGCAAGTTAAGATTAAAAGGATTAAATAAGTAAATGAAGCATTCTGAAAAAACCCTTTCCTGGCTTTTGGTGCTAACCAAGGGATCTTTGGTGCTAACCTCACCTGGCTCAGCCATCCCAAAGTCTGGCATCCCATCCAGGCTGGTTGTTAAGAGGCTCCCAGTGCTTGGTGGGAGGAGATGATCCTCTCAATGAGGAGATGATCCTCTCAAGCACCTCTGACCATAAGGCAGCTGAATTTTCCTGTCAAAACCCCTTTCTGTGCTCAGAGAGTGATGACATCCTGGGTGGGTTCCCACCTCTCCTGTCTCTTTGTCTTGTGCAGTCAGAGGCCTTTCGGACAGCCAGCAGTGTCGGAGCAACCGCGGCCACTGCCGGAGGCTCTGCTTCCATATGGAGCGCTGGGCTGGGAGCTGCAGCAACGGTCGCCAGCGCTGCTGCCGATGAACACGGCCGTGCCAGGTGGGACCATCTACCAAGACCAGCCTGAAACCAGGACTGCACATAGGACTGGCTTTTGGACACCACCTGTGTCTACACCCACAGTTCGGCTTCTCCATCACCAATAAATCTGGTTTTATATTTTTTTTTCTGAGTTCACATTTCCCTGTGAGGTGGATCATCCTGCCTGACATCTGGGGTTTGATCCACTTTGCACAAAGTCATTTGGAGCTTTCTGAGATGCATGAGGATGCATGAGACATCTGGCAGAGGTGGCCCAGGACCCATGGGAGATCCATAGAGAGGGATATGCTGCTCTTGCTTGAGCAATTGGACAGGTTCCCATCCAGTCCGTCCACTGCCCATCTCTATCTCTGTCTACAGAAGACACCACAGCAGGAAACCACATTCTTACCTGATCTCTTGTTTGCATGAACGGGAGGCCTAAAGAAAAAGAGAAAAAATCATATGATGATAAAAGCTGTGAGAGCTTTTATGACCTTGCTGCTGTTTGGTGGTATGGGATGAGTGTGATTGCAGGTGTGGGGATGGAAGAAGAGGATCCAAACAGCAAGCGGCTGGTCTGGCTTTGGGAGTGCTCTGAGTGATTGCTTTTGGGATGGCT